CTGGAGCCTATCCCAGCCGACTTGGGGCGAAGGCAGGGGACACCCTGGACAGGTCACCAGTCTATCACAGGGCTACACTTAGAGACAGACAACCAAGCACACCCACGTTCACACCTACGGACAATTTAGAATCACCAATTAACCTCAACATGTTTTTGGACTTGTGGGAGGAAGCCGGAGAACCCGGAGAGAGCCCACGCTGCACGGGGAGAGAAGGGAGAACATGCAAACTCCACGCAGAAAGATCCCAGTGCTCCCACCGGGACGCGAACCGGCAACGTTCTCGCTGCGAGGCCTTGCAGCAAGAGGCATTTATAGGATGGAAATTTTAAACTGTGAAATAATTTGCGGAATGAAAGATTATGAACAGTTTTGGCAGTGTCTGACAGGGTCACAGTCTTGCACTCTCAAAGTTTGTGGTATTGAGCACTTTACCGGCATGCATGATAAACAATTCCAGGTTATACTTTGTACTTTCAGACAATGAGAGCTTTTTAAAATGCTGTTCTTCTGAATGCCTTATTAGAATGAAAATAACGTGGATCAGTCCAGAAAAACTGATTTCAGTTCAGCAGGATATTATTTTACCTGATTGTTGTTTCCATGTTCAGTCTGACGAAGAAATTGCGTTATATCCGGGCACAATTGTCAGATGTAGTTTGTTCAACAACTTTTACTTGTAAATGGCTCTTCTTTAGTATGACCAGTCTGTAGAAATAATGGTGGGTTGGATTTTTTTTTCTGTTATGTTTTGCATTAATCATAATAGGAATGAGAGTCAATGCCACATCGCAAATCACTGCAGTTTTTAGTTTCCTCACATATATGCACAGTCTCTCTTTCTCTTTGTCTTCTTTTAGCAGCCATATTTTTGTAATTTCTGATCTTATAGAGTGTTTTGGACTTTTTCAGTGTCTGTTACTGTCTTTATGTTTTTCAGCAGTTCTGATTTGCTTCTGGATTCATCCGTCTTTGACTTGGCATTCAGATCAGTTGTCAGAACATATGTTATTTGTGAGTTTATTCAGTGCTGATGTTAATGAGCAGTCGACGCATAACATGTTGCTTGTTATATTCAATTTGAAACGAGGTTCATGTGTTGAAATCACTGAGGAAAATTCCTTTCAATAGAATTATTCTAACAGTAGATAAGTTCAGCCATAGCCTGTATTGTGTTATAAAAGTGTATATAATAGCATCCAGTTAAGTTGATTTCAATATACTTATCAAATTTCACTTTTACGATGAGAATAATTTTAAGGCTATGACTAATAATATTGGTAAGAATTTTATATATGCGGTGTGTTATTTCTTTATTCCACTCACGGTGTCGCTATTCGCCAGTCTATGTGAAGCATTTCCACTCCACCCTCTGTTGTGTAGGCTGGTTAAAGGGTATTTTTCAGTTGCTTTTGATCCTTGACTGCAGCTAGGCTAACTGTGGAGAGCTGTCGATTTCCTTTTGAATAACTACATAGTCTTTTTTGAATCTGAAATCTAACCGGGGACTGCCGTTGTGGACCAAACGCACTGCCACAATGGCGCGCCAAATATACGGCTTCGTTTTCTTTTTATTGTGGCACACCGCGAATGNTTCACGTTTTGAAATCACTGAGGAAAATTCCTTGTAGTGCAACTATTCTAACAGTAGACAAGTTCAACCGTAGCCTGTATTGTGTTCTTCAAATGTATATATAACGGCATCCAATCAACGTGATTTCAATGTACTTATAACATTTCATTTGTACGATGACAACAATTATAAGACTATTACTTATAATAATGGTCAGAATTTCATATATGCGGTGTGTTATTTCTTTATTCCACTCACGGTGTCGCTATTCGCCAGTCTATGTGAAGCATTTCCACTCCACCCTCTGTTGTGTAGACTGGTTAAAGGGTTTTTTTTCTCAGTTGCTTTTGATCCTTGACTGCAGCTAGGCTAACTGTGGAGAGCTGTCGATTTCCTTTTGAATAACTACATAGTCTTTTTTGAATCTGAAATCTAACCGGGGACTGCCGTTGTGGACCAAACGCACTGCCACAATGGCGCGCCAAATATACGGCTTCGTTTTCTTTTTATTGTGGCACACCGCGAATGGTGACGTGAGCTATTCATTCCAGGAGGAAATGAAGCGAGGATCTCTTGTTGGGAATATAGCGAAGGATCTTAAACTGGACTTGAGTAAACTGTCTTCCAGAAATGCTCGTGTTGATGCTGCAGGGAATCGCAAACGGTATTGTGACATCAATGCAAGCACCGGAGATTTAATTGTTGCCGA